CGAAGCAGGAAGCTAAGGCGGCCAACACCCCCACTCCCCATCCCTGCTGGGGGTCTCGGTGCCACACAAGCACCTCCCTCCCAACTCGCCTCCTACTCCTTCCCCCATCCCTACCTTAATCCATCCGGTGTAATCCAGTGACAGCCCTTGGTGACAAGCCCTTTGCTGTTCACCTTCACATACATCCTGAATTCAACACCTTTTATTCATGTGTGCAGCAGCTCTGGGCATCATAACTCTGACCCCTGGAAGGGTGCCCATTCCCCTCTTGTTAGCCTTCCTTCCCTCCCCTTACCCCAGCCACCACGCAGAGAAGAACAGGAGAGACTTACAGTAATGGTTTCCTTGGGGACCTTCTGGGAACGCTCAGCAGGTATATCCTGTCACTCTGTGAGCATAACACTAGGAACAAACTTGCTTTTTCCTGTTTGTGTCCCTACTCTGCCCCACAGCTTCCCAGCATCTCCTGGACTGGGGATTGGGGGGCACCCCACACAAGGGATTTTTTACCATTCCAACACAAAAGCGTTCCAGTGTGTGTCATAGGAAAGACAGAAGAGGGTGAAGAGGTGGCCTCTGCAGTATTAGGAAGCTGACTGTTCTTAGGTTTGAACTTAAAAAAGGTTAATGGAGAGGTGCAGGGAGTAGGGATCTCCCAGTGTTCCTGGGCATCGATTTGTGTGCTGGTGCTGCTGGACAGATGAACCTGAAGGATAGGAAATGGATCCTTTCCTGCGGTGACCACCTACCCACGAGAACACGCCTCTCGCAAAGGATCTCCAACCCTCTCCAGAAGAGGGTAAGAGGAAACACAAGAAGAAACTCCTGATGCAGAGCCCTAATTCCTACATGGATATGAAATGCCCAAGATGCTATAAAATCACCAGGGTCTTTAGCCATGAACGAATGGTAGTTTTGTGTGTTGGCTGCTCCACTGTCCTCTGCCAGCCTGCGGGAGGAAAAGCAAGGCTTACAGATGACTGTTCCTTCAGGAGGAAGCAGCACTAAAAGTACTCTGAATCAACATGAGTGGGAAACCATCTCAATAAACACATTTTGGATTAAAAAAAAAAAAAAAAGAGGGGGGAATGGGTAAGGGCATCTGTTCAGAGCCAGGCAAGGCTGTGTAAGAAGTAGCTTGAGATAGGATCCATGTATTAGCATCTTCATTCAGGATCTCGAGGAGGAAGCGTTTGTTTCTTTTAGTCAGTAGCTTGTGTGTATCACAGTAACATAGGTTAGACTTAGAGAAGTCCTCTTTCACTGCAGGTTTATCTCGGTAGCGCAGCTTCAGTCCACTTTGTTCACAGTAGGGGAAACAAGTCCTTCTAGAGGTAGCCCTCACAGGCCAATGCAGTTGTAAATGCATGATCCTCATAGTAAATTAAGGATCTCAGTGGTATTAAGGAAAAATTATCTTTAGAGCAACTGGCCCAGACTTCAGAATTAAGAGATTAGAGGATGTGGTTCCAGCTCATTTTCTCTGGTACTACACACACAGAACATCACTCCGAGAATAAAAGAAGAATTTGCTTTATAGTTTAAAAAAAATCCTCTTGAGAAAGACAGTGGGCAGATGATATTATGCAACTTGGCACACGTGTATACCGAATGTCTTCTACGTACTAGACACTGTCCTGGGTGCTGTAGTCCCAGCAGCTGCCTTTGTAAAGCTTGCATTCTAGAGATGGGAGTCATGTAAGTACATGAATGAATGAATGAATGAATGAACAATAGATAAATAAATGGTGTGTTCAGTTAGATGTTGTAAGTGTCACAGAGGAGGAAGGGAATAGGGAGGGTGGGCGCCATGGGGTAGAAGGTGAGATGTAATTTTATTTATTTATTTATTTATTTATTTATTTATTTTTATTTTTGAGACACAGTCTTGCTCTATCGCTCAGGCTGGAGTGTAGTGATGTGATTTTGGCTCACTGCAACCTCTGCCTCCTGGATTCAAGTGATTTTCCTGTCTCAGCCTCCCCAGCAGCTGAGATTACAGGCGCCCACCACCACGCCTGACTAATTTTTTGTATTTTTAGTAGAGATGGGGTTTCGCTGTGTTCAGGCTGGTCTCGAACTCCTGACCTCAGGTGATCTGCCCACCTCAGCCCCCAAAAGTGCCAGGATCACAGGCATGAGCATCACAGACCGAGATGAGATTTTAAATCAACAACATTTTCAAGGGAAGGGTGATGATTTAGCAAAGGCTTTGAGATGAAACTACTCTATAATACAGAAAACTCTCATTTAAGCAGAATGTCTGTCTCTCTTAAGTGCAGTGATAATCGACATTCATATTTTGACTTTCACTACCCTAAAACTGTGGGCCAAGTAGACTCAGTGGGATGGGAGCTCAGAAAATGGTAGTTCTTGAACAAACACCTCTATCAGATGAGAAGGCTGAGAGCTGAGGGTTTTCCTTGACCACTCTTGGAGAAACATAGCTTTAAAATATATTGAAGAGCCTTTGAGAATGACAATAAGAATGAAAGTAAAGATTAAATTACAGTCCATGTGGTTTTAGTATGCAGAGTATTTCAGTGCTGTCACTCTTTGAAAATGCAGTATCAGCCAGGCATGGTGGCTCACGCCTGTAATCCCAGAACTTTGGGAGGCTGAAGCGGGCAGATCATGAGGTCAGGAGTTCGAGAGATGAGCCTGGTGAACATGGTGAAACCCTATCTCTACTAAAAAATACAAAAATTAGCCGGGTGTGGTGGCACACAGCTGTAATCCCAGCTACTTGGGAAGTTGAGGCAGGAGAGTTGCTTGAACCCGAGAGGTGGAGGTTGCAGTGAGCCGAGATCTTGCCACTGAATTCCAGCCTGGGTGTCAGATTGAGACTCCATCTCAGAAAAAAACAAAGAGAGAGAGAAGAAAAAAAGAAAATGTAGCATCCAAGCAAAGCTCTGAATTATCCAGAACATTCCATTTCTTGTCCATGCAAGAAAAATTTACTGTAAGCCAATTAAGAGCCATTTTTCAAACTCCTCCACTTAAAAAATACATATATATACATTTTACTTTTTCTTTCTTCTTTTCTATTTTTGAGACAGGGTTTCACTCTGTTGCCCAGGCTGGAACATCATGGCACGATCAGGGTTCACTGTAGCTTCAACCTCCTGGGCTCAACCAATCTTCCCAACACAACCTCCCAAGTAGCTAGGACTACACATACACGCCACCACGCCCAGCTAATTACTGTTTTGTTTTGTTTTGCAGAACAGGGTCTCACTATGTTGCCCAGGCTGGCCTCCAGGTCCTGGACTCAAGCAATCCTCTGCCACCACGACCTCCTAAAGTGCTGGGATTACAAATGTAAACCACTGTGCCCAGCCTAAAAAGTAGACCGCATTTTTATTGACAAGAAGGTACAGAGATTTCCCTCGTGCCCTCTGCCCCCACGTGTGTATAATCTTTCCCACTGTCAACATCTGCCACCAGAGTGGTACATTTGTTACAACTGGTGAACCTATACTGACACATGATTGTCACCCAGAGTCCATAGTTTAGAGTTCACTCTTGGTTTTGTACATTCTGTGTGTTTGGACATGTATCTCCTCTTGTATACATGTATAAGGACATATATCTCCCATTATACTGTCAGACAAAGTGGTTTCACTGTCCTCAGCATTCTCCGTGCTCCACCTATTCGTTCTTCCCTCCCCCAACCCCTGACAACCACTGATCTTTTACGCTCCATAGTTTTCTCTTTTCAAGAATGTCATATAGTTTGAATCACAAAGTACGTAGCCTTTTAGACTGGCTTCTTTCACTTAGTAATACACATTCAAGATTCCTCCATGTTGCCGGGCAGTGGCTCACACCTGTAATCCCAGCACTTTGGGAGGCCGAGGCAGGCAGATTACGAGGTCATGTGTTCAAGACCAACCTGGCCAACATAGTGAAACCCGTCTCTACTAAAAGTACAAAAAATTAGCTGTGCATGGTGGTAGGTGCCTGTAATCCCAGCTACTTGGGAGCCTGAGGCAGGAGAATCGCTTGAACCAGGACCTGGGAGGCGGAGGTTGCAGTGAGGCGAGATTGGGCCACTGCAGTCCATGTCGAAAGAAAGAGAAAGAGAGGCAGGGAGGCAAGGAGGGAGGGAGGGAGAGAAGAAGGAAAGGAAGAAGAAAAGGAAGAAAGATTCCTCCATGTTGGCTTTTGTGTGTGGGGGGGGTTTCATTTCTTTTTGTTTGTTTCTTGTGTGTTTTTGTTTGTTTGTTTGAGACCAGGCTTCCCTCTGTTGCCCAGGCTAGAGTGCAGTGGCATGATGAGGCTCACTGCAGCCTCAACTTCCCAGGCTCAAGCGATCCTCCCACCTCAGGCTCCTGGACAGCTGGGACTACAGAACAGTTGGGACTGCAGCGGCACGCCACTGCCCCGGCTAATTTTTGTATTTTTTGTAGAGATAGGGTGGTACCATGTTGCCCAGGCTGATCTGGAACTCCTAGCTTCAAGTGATCCATGTGCCTCAGCCTCTCAAAGTGCTGGGATTACAGGCGTGAGCCACCTGGCCTGGCCCTCACCATGTCTTTTCATAGCTTGATAACTCGTCTCTTTTTAGAGCTGAATAATAGTCTGTACTCTAGACGTACCACAGTTTATGCATCCATTCACCTCCTGAAAGACATCTTGCTTGCTTTCAAGTTTTGGCAATTACGAATAAAGCTGCTATAAACATCCAAGTGCAGGTTTTTGAGTGAATGCAGGTTTTTAATCCCTCACTTTTTTGTCCTAATTTTTGTCTCTTTTTTTTCTTCCTTCTCTTAAATTTCTGGACTCAACCAGAAGGCTATCAGCTGGGGTAATGAGAGCACTTGACTGAGAATCTAAAGATCCATACAATGGTCTTGGGACTACCACTGTTTCTGGTTGAGTGGTTCTAGGGATACACCACTTAGCCTTCTGAGCTTCCATTTACTTTCGGAGTTGCTGCAAGACTTACGTGAGAGCATGTATTTGAAAGCACCTTAGCCGGGCGCGGTGGCTCAAGCCTGTAATCCCAGCACTTTGGGAGGCTGAGGCGGGTGGATCACGAGGTCAAGAGATCGAGACCATCCTGGTCGACATGGTGAAACCCCGTCTCTACTAAAAATACAAAACATTAGCTGGGCATGGTGGCGTGTGCCTGTAATCCCAGCTACTCAGGAGGCTGAGGCAGGAGAATTGCCTGAACCCAGAAGGCGGAGGTTGCGGTGAGCCGAGATCGCGCCATTGCACTCCAGCCTGGGTAACAAGAGCGAAACTCTTTCTCAAAAAAAAAAAAAAAAAAAAAGAGAAAGCACCTTAGACACTCTAAAGCACTATGGGAAAGTAAAGGTAGAGCTGTCCATCAAAGCGCTATGGGAGTGCCAGGTGTGCTGACTCATGCCCGTAATCCCAGCACTTTGTGAGGCTGAGGCAGGTGGATCAGTTGAGGTCAGGAGTTTGAGACCAGCCTAGCCAACATGGCAAAACCCCTTCTCCACCAAAAATACAAAAATTGACCAGGCGTGGTGGCACATGCCTGTAATCCCATCTACTGGGGAGGCTGAGGTGGGAGAATTGTTTGAACCTGGGAGGCGGAGGCTGCAGATCCTGCCACTGCACTCCAGCCTGGATAGCAGAGTGAGACTCTGTCTCAAAACAAACAAAAAGCAGCACTATGGGAAGGTAAGGATAGAGCTGTCCATCAACTCCATACAGTGGACTATTATTCGGCCATAAAAAGGAATGTGGTACTGGTACATTTTACAACACACATGAACCTTGAAGACATTTTGCTAAGTGAAAGGAGCCAGAAACAAAAGGCCACATATTTCATGATTCCATTTACATGAGATGTCCACAATAGGCAAATCCACAGAAAGAGGAAGTAAACATGTGGCTGCCTAGAGCCTGGAGGGTGAGGGAAGACACAGGGAAAGGGGGAGTGACTGCCAATGGGTCCAGGTTTCTTTCGGGAGTGATAAAAATGTTCTAAAATTGGTTATAGTGATGGTTACACAATTCTGCGAATATATTTTAAAATGTTGAATTATATACTTTAAGTGGGTAAATTGGATGGCATGTGAATTATATCTCTATAAAGCTGTTACCAAAAAAAAGCAAACCATTTACCTAGTTTGAACCTTTCCCTGATCTCAGTGCCTATCCATGGAAATGAATTGTCTCTTTTCTCCCATAACATTTTGCTTTTACTTTTATTTTATTTTTTTCTTTTTTAATATCACAATCCTAAATATATATGCACCTAATACTTTTATTATTATTATTTAGAAGTTATTAAGCATTCCCACATACTAGACACGGTGCTACGGGCTTTTCAGGGATTCTCCCACTGCATTCTCCCAGCAATTCTACAAGGTAGGAACTTCTGTGTTTTTATTTTACTAACCAAGAAAACAAGTCTTAGAGAAGTTAAGGAATTTGTCCAAAGTCACATAGAGATCCTCCTCTATTTACAATGATGCTACATGCCAATAAAACCATCATAAGTCAAAAATACTTTCAGGCCTGGCTCAGTGGCTCACACCTGTAATCCCAGCACTTTGGGAGTCTGAGGTGGGAGGATCGCTTGAGTCTAGGAGTTGGAGACCAGCCTGGGCAACATGGTAAAATCCCAAAAAAAAAAAAAAAAAAAAAAAGCCAGGTGTGTGGCATGCCCTGTAGTGTAGTCCCAGCTACTCTGGAGGCTGAGGCATGAGGTGAGCCTAAGAGATTGAAGTTTCAATGAGCCATGATTGTGCCACTGTATTCCAGTCTGGGCAACAGAGTGAAATCCTGTCTCAAAATGTATTTTATGCATATATATGTGTGTACATATGCATACATATATGTGTGTACAGATATATGTACATATATTTTATGCATATATATGTGCACATATATATGTACACACATGTGTGTGTGCATATATATGCATAAATATATGTACATATATATGTAAACACATATATATGCATAAAATACATTTAGTACCCTGAAAAACCTACCATAAAGTCAAAATATCATAAGTTGCACCCCTGTAAATCAGAGATCATCTGTACTAAATGATAAACTAATAGCTACGATGTATTGAGCAATTATTGTGTCCCAGGCACTTTGCATTGGAAAACTCAGTCCTTGCCACAGCTGTTTGAGGTAGATCCCTATTTTACAGATCAGGAAACAGAAGCATTGAGAGGTCAACTTGCTAATAAAGATCAGATGGGTGATAAGTGGGGGAGCTGAGATTTGAACTCAAATCTGATATCACAGTTCCCATCAGGAACTTCATCATGAACATCATGAAAATCTTTTAATATTATCCACCTATTTAATGGGCATGCAATGCACCTATTATTACAGATGGTTCTGGAATGTCTGTTTTGCTGGAATGGGAGCTCTCTAAGGGGAAGTCCCTTAAAGCTCTTTGCATTCTCCTCCACTACCCCTTATCCTCAGGACCATACCTTACAGTGAGTACTCAATAGTTGGCTTTTGTTTCTTTCTTTCTTTCTTTTTGAGGGTCTCAAAACAGAGTGAGACATGCTCAAGCCCAACTAATTTTTTTACTTTATTTTATTTTATTTTTAATTTTCTGAGACAGAGTCTCACTTTGTCACCCAGGCTGGAGTGTGGTGGCACAATCTCGGCTCACTGTACCCTCCACCTCTCATGTTCAAGGTATTCTTCTGCCTCAGCCTCCTGAGTAGCTGGGACTATGGGCGCTCACCACCATGCCTGGCTAATTTTTTGTAGTTTCAGTAGAGTCAGGGTTTCACCGTGTTAGCCAGGATGGTCTCAATCTCCTGACCTCATGATCTGCCCGCCTCGGCCTCCCAAAGTGCTGGGATTAGAGGCATAAGCCACCTAGCCTGGCCAATTTTTGTATTTTTTGTAGAGACAGGGTTTCGCTATGTTGCCCAGGCTGGTCTCGAATTCCTGAGCTCAAGCAATGTTCCCGCCTCAGCCTCCCCAAGTGCTGGAAATACAGGCATGAGCCACCACGCCGGGCCTCACTAGTTGTACATGCCTGGAAGCCATCACGGTGCTAGGGCTAGAGGATGAGACAGTGAATGAGACAGTGATTCCTACTTTCACAGACCTGGCAATCTGGAGACACTCACAAGAGTTTTACATACATTTTTTTTTTGCCCAGGCTGGTCTTGGCCTCCTGGGTTCAAGCGATATTCCCGCCTCAGCCTCCCAAAGTGCTGGGATTACAGGCGTGCCCCACCTTGTCCGGCTGATATACATCTTTTTAACCAGGTCTTTTGAATCACTGCAATAATTCAATGTAGGAGGTTCTATTAATGTGCTTGCCTTACAGATGATGAAACTGAGACTCAAACAACTGAAGTGACATGCCCAAGGTCATGCAGCTGGCCAGTCTGAAAGCCCAGCTCTACCTGCCCCAAACATGCTACACTGTCTCCGTTCCCCACCCCCCAACCTTCCCCTGCTGTCCTGGCAGGGAGGGAATTAAATAGACTATTCCGCTTGCCCAGCTGAAACACCCACAGTCTGTCCAGACCTGCTGACTCTCCCACTTTCTCACTTTCTCACTGTCGCTTCCAGTGACAGCCAGGTCTGGTTTGATGTGCCGGTGAAAGGGGGATGCTTCAGAGTTTTATGGTTTTAGCATCTGAAGTCACCTCTCTGCTGTAATTAGCTCTGTGATTTAATCTGCTCAGCTAATCATTCTACAATTCAGGAGTCAAAGACAAACATGTTAACAGCACGCGTCCTTTACGTTTTTTTTTTTTTTAATGTTTATTTTGGGAAACTGAAACTGCGGACCTGGAGAAGCGAAAGGGCAGGTCTGTCAGTGCTGACTGTGGGGAAGGGGTGCCAGGCCGCGGGCAGGGGCTGCTCTTACACTTAGGCCAGACCTAAAGATGAGAGGCTGGCTAGAGGGGAAGTTCACATCTCTGAGCCCTGTCTGGAGAACAGAGCGCACTCCCTAGAGACCAGGTTTTCAGGGACCAGGGAAATCATTTTTGGAGTTTGTGAACGGAGTAGAAAAAGTATCAGGTAGGCAGGAACCTGGGGCTCCACCTCTGACCCTGAAGCAGGCTCTTCCCCTCTCTGAGCGCTAGTTTATTCATGTGCAAAATGGAAAGTGGCCATATTATTCCTGAGATGGAAAATTGGTTTCAGTTTTTCTACTCGCCCTCCCAAAGTATCTTCAAAATGACTGGTAGTGGCTGGGGCTGGGCAAGGATAGAAATCGGTGATTGATTAGTGATGTCTGCCTTGTGCAGGTAGTCATGGAATGGTGGAAGGTGGGCTATAGAGTTGCCTTCTCTGAACTAGATTATCACTACCTCTTTTCCAGTTTGGGTCTTCTAGAGACTTTAGAACAAGAAGGGCAAGAACTAAGAGCTATGCAGCATCACCAGGAGTCAGGCAACCAAGGGAAGAACCACATGATTCTATATGAGGAAGAAAAGTATTTACATCAAACCATAAGCCATTTGCATCACATCATTAACATGGTGGGGAGGCAGGGGGCACTTATTGTGTGCTAGTATGAGTATGAATTTTTTCTGTGAGTATGGATTTATCTTAACAACCAGAAAACTGTAAAAATAATTTAAATGAGTCTATTTAAAGACTGTTTAAGAACACTGATAGCAGCATTATTCATAATAGCCAGAAATTGGAAGTAATCCAAATGTCCATCAACAGGAGAATGGAAAAACTATGATACATTCATACACTGGAATACTATGTAAAAATGAAAAGGGCCAGGCGCAGTGGCTCTCGCCTGTAATCCCAACACTTTGGGAGTGGATCACTTGAGGCCAGGAGTTCAGGACCAGCCTGGCCTACATGGTGAAATCCCATCTCTACTAAAAATGCAAAAATTAGCTGGATGTGGTGGTACAGCCCTGTAATCTCGGCTACTTGAAATGCTGAGAAAGGAGAATCACTTGAACCTGGGAGGTGGAGGTTGTAGTGTGCCAAGATCACACCACTGCACTACAGCCTGGGTGACAGGGATTCCATTTAAAAAAAAAAAAAAAAGACCAAGCGTGGTGGCTCACATCTGTAATCCCAGCACTTTGGGAGGCTAAGGAGGTCAGATTGCTTGAGGCCAGGAGTTTGAGACCAACCTGGCCAACATGGTGAAACTCCGTCTCTACTAAAAGTTCAAAAATTAGCTGGGCATGGTGGCATGAGCCTGTAGTCCCAGCTACTTGGGAGGCTGAGGCAGGAGAACCGCTTGAACCTGGGAAGCAGAGATTGGAGTGAGCCAAAATCTGGCCTGGGCAACAGAGTAAAACTCTATCTCAAAAAAAAAAAAGGAAAAAGGAATAAATGACAGATACACAAAACAATACAAGTGAATTTCTTTCTTTTTTTTTTTTTTTGAAACAAAGTCTGGCCTGGACAACAGAGTAAAACTCTATCTCAAAAAAAGAAAGAAAGAAAGAAAAAGGAGTGACAGGTATATAAAACAATACAAATGAATTTTTTTTTTTTTCGGAGATGGGGTTTCACCATGTTGGCCAGGATGGTCTCGATCTCCTGACCTTGTGATTTGCCCACTTTGGCCTCCCAAAGTGCTGGGATAACAGGTGTGAGCTACCATGCCCGGCCAAATGAATTTCTTTCTTTTTTTTTTTTTTTGAAACAAAGTCTTGCTCTGTCACCCAAGTTGGAGTGCCTCCCAAGTTTTATATATACATTTTTATATATAGCTGCAACCCAGATTAAGATACAGATCTGTGTTGTCCATAAAAGTGACCACTTGGCCGGGCACAGCAAATCACGAGGTTAGGAATTGTAGACAAGCCTGGCCAACATGGTGAAACCCTGTCTCTACTAAAAATATAAAAAATTAGCTGGGTGTAGTAGTGGGCGCTTGTAGTCCCAGCTACTTAGGAAGCTGAGGCAGGAGAATCACTTGAACTCAGGAAGCAGAGGTTGCAGTGAGTCAAGATTGTGTCACTGCACTCCAGCCTGAGCCACAAGGTGAAACTCCATCTCCAAAAACAAACAAACAAAAGTGACCACTCACCATGTACAGCTTCGGAGCCCAAGCACTTGAGTTGCAGCTGGCCCAAACTAACCAGTGCTGTAAGTGCAAAGTATACATTGGATGTCAACGAATGCAGAAAATAAATGTAAAATATAGCAATAATTTTATATTGATTACATGTTGAAACATAATTTTTGAATATATTATTAAAATACGTTTCACCTGTTTCATCTTTTGTCTATTATTTTTATCTCGCTCTTTCACCCAGGCTGGAGTGCAGTGGCGCCATCTCGGCTCACTGCAACCTCCGCCTCCTGGGTTCAAGTGATTCTCCTGCCTCAGCCTCCTGAGTAGCTGGGATTACAAGCACCTGCCATCACACCTGGCTAAGTTTTGCATTTTTAGTAGAGACAGGGTTTCACCATGTTGGCCAGGCTGGTCTCCAACTCCTGACCTTGGGTGATCCACCTGCCTTGGCTTTCCAAAGTGCTAGGATTACAGGCGTGAGCCACCATGCCCAGCCTTTATGTCTTTTTAATGTAGTTCCTAGAAAATTGTAAATTACACATGCAGTTTACAGCTGTAGCTGGCGTTTTATTTCTATTGGGCAGCACTGATATTGAACCTTTCCTTTCTCCAGAAAGTTACCTCCTGCTTCCAGGTCAATATCTACTTCCCTCCTCCCAAAGATAAACACAATTATGACCTGTCTTCCTATAGATTCGATTTGCCTGTTCCATAATTTCAAATAAATGGATTGTCTGTATGTATTTTTTTGCATCTGGCTTCTTTTGCTCATACAGTTTGTTGTTGTTGTTTTGAGTCAGGGTCTCACTTTGCCACACAGGCTGGAGTGCAGTGGCATGATCTCAGCTCACTGCAGTCTTGAATTCCTGAGTTCAAGTGATCCTCCTGCCTCAGCCCCCCAAGTAGCTGAGACTACAGGCAAACCACCACCACGCCTGGCTAATTTTTGTATTTTTGCAGAGACGGTGTTTTACCATGTTGTCCAAGCTGGTCTCGTTCTCTTAGGCTCAAGTGATCTGCCCTCCTCCACCTTCCAAAGTGCTAGGATTACAGGCATGAGCCACTGCGCCCAGCCTCAACATACAGTTTTTGAAATTTGCCCAAGCTGGGCATAGTGGCTGACACCTGTAATCCCAGCACTTTGTGAGGCCAACGTGGGAGGGTCAATTGAGGCCAGGAATTCAAGACCAGCCTGGGCAACATAACAAAACCCCATGTCTACAAAAACATAAGAAAATTAGCTGGGCATGGTGGCTCACGCCTGTAATCCCAATACTTTGGGAGGCTGAGGCAGGCGGATCATGAGGTCAGGAGTTCGAGACCAGACTGGCCAATATGATGAAATCCCATCTCTACTAAAAATACAAAAATTAGCCAGGCATGGTGGTGCATGCCTGTAATACCAGCTACTCAGGAGGCTGAGGCAGGAGAATCCCTTGAACCTGGGAGGCGGAGGTTGCAGTGAGCCAAGATCATGCCCCTGCACTCCAGCCTGGGTGACAGAGTGAGACTCTGTCTCAAAAAAGAAAAAAGAAAAGAAAAGAAAATTAACCAGGTGGAGTTGTATGAGCGTGTAGTCCCAGCTACTTGAGAGGCTAAGGCAGGAGGATCTCTTTAGACTGGGAGTTTGAGGAAACAGTGAACCACTGTGCTCCAGCCTGGGTGACAAAAAAAGACCATATCGGAAAAAAAAAAAAAAAAAAGGTAAGAGTGATACTTTACTGAAAAAAAAAAAAAAAAAAAAAAAGAAAAAATTAAAAGGGGAATAACAGGATGAGCGAGTGGAGATAGAATAACCAAGGTAAAGAAGGATTTAGCTACTTCCATGAAGCTGTTTCCACCAGCAGAGAAATTCACCAGTGCCCAGTGTCCCCGAGACTGGGTCAGAAAACCACAAAAGATCAAATTTGGCAGAAGCTATTCAAGAGTTTACTCTTTGGTCTTCAGCATCATATCCCATTAATAACTAATTTGTTATTAGTAACATATAACTAATAACAACAAAGTAGATACTGACAACTTTACTGAGCCCTTATCATATACTCAGCATGGTGCTAAGAGCTGTCCTGCCTTATCGCATCTACAGACCTCTGAAGTTGGTTCTGTGACGATCCTCCCATGTTGTAGATGGGAAAACTGAGGCTCAGTAAACATGCCCAAGTACGCCACACTCACCAATGGCAAAGAGGGGGTTCAAAGGCAGGTGTCTCTGGCTTCTGGCCTGGTATTTTTAACTGCTACCTCTACTGAAGCTTGAGAATGCTTTCTTTGCTTTAAATAAATAAATGAAGAAGAAAAAGAAATAAACAAATGCGGAAAAGTGGAGTCAAGGTTATGTCTATAAATAACATCACTCTTGCTCCCTGGCCTTTGGACAAGCTCTCGGAGGGAGAGAGGAAGAGCTGGGGTTCCGTAGAATTCAGACTATCTTATCTGAACACCATGAAAGCATGAGTCACTGGGAATGCCATTCATCAGGAGTGTCCCAATTTTAAAAAGGCTGAGAAGGGCTGCCTTGGAGAGCCTCTGAGGCCCCCCTCTTGCTTTACGGATAAACTTAGAGATCCAAAGAAAGAATTATTTAGCCCAAGGTCACACAGCTAGTACTCAGTGGCTACATCTCTGCATCTTCACTTCCCAGTGAATGAATCAAATGTGCCTTTTCCACCGTGTCACGTACTCTGGAGGTATTCACACCTGAATAAGGCTTGCTGACAGTTCTTGAGGCATTTACGCTCCAGTAAAGGGACGAATTATATAAAGCAAAGTATGAGAGCCTTAAGCGAGCTTTGGAAGCTCCAGGGAGGGAGGGAGCACAGTGGGTTGGAGAGGAAAGGGAAGGCTGGTGTCTGAGCTGGGTCAGAAAAGCAAACGGAGGAGTGGGCACTCCTCAAACGAGAGCCAGTGGGTTCCTGTGTTGGCTGACCTGTGTATTCACCATCGGCTCAACTGTTGCCTCTAGTGTTCAGTATGGTGTCGGGTCGACAGTAAATTATTAGTTGACTGATGCAGCATGGAACTCATTCAGGGGGGTTTTGGGGACAGAAAAAAATAAAATAAAATAAAATACAAAAAGAACTCATTTGGCCGGGCGCAGTGGCTCACACCTGTAATCTCAGCACTTTGGGAGGCCAAGGTGAGCAGATCACCCAAGATGAGGAGTTCGAGACCAGCCTGGCCAACATGGTGAAACCTCATTTCTACTAAAAATACAAAAATTACTGGGTGTGGTGGCACACACCTGTAATCCCAGCTGCTCAGCGGCTTGGGAGGCTGAGGCACAAGAATCACTTGAAACTGGTAGGCAGAGGTTGCAGCGAGCCTGGACAACAGAGAGAGATGCCATCTGAATAAAAAGCAAAAAATGAACTCGCTCATCAGAAAAGGAGAGGTAAAGTTAGCTGACAGTGGTGTGCATATCCTTGTAATCCTAGCTAGATAGGAGCCCAAGACAGGAGGACCACTCAAGGCCAGGAGTTCAAGACCAGCCTGAGCAATAGATTGATTACTCTGCCTCTACTAAAAATAGAAGATTAGCAGAGTGTGGCAGCTCATGCCTTTATATGGGCCCAGCCACTTGGGAGGCTGAAGTGGGAGGATCCCTTGAGTCTAGAAGGTAGAGGCTGCAGTGAGTTATGATTACTCCACTGCATAAATACATGCAGTGTGTATTTGTGTGTGTGTATTGTAATGCCTGTGTATCCCAAGGTCACATGCTTCTTAAAAGAAAGGACTGTTAGCCAGGCACCATTGCAAACACCTAGGCAGCATAACAAGACTCTCACCTCTAAAAAAATAAAAGTAAGGACTGCTTTCTTCTTGTTCCCCATTATGGGTGGCACATAGTAGGCATTCTTTACATCTTCACTGAATGAACAAATAGATGAATTGTGGGGAAGACACATTGTCCTCTTTAAGCCTGAAGAAATAATAACCAGCCAGGCGCGTTGGCTCATGCCTGTAATCCCAGCACTTTGGGAGGTCGAGCTGGGCGGATCACGAGGTCAGGAATTCGAGACCAGCTTAGCCAACATGGTGAAACCCTGTCCCTACTAAAAATACAAACATTAGCTGGGTGTGGTGGTGGGTGCATGTAATCTCAGCTACTTGGGAGGCTGAAGCAGGAGAATTGCTTCAATCTAGGAGGCAGAGGTTGCAATGAGCTGAGATCGAGCCACTGTACTTCAGTTCTGGGCAACACAGCAAGACTCCATCTCACACACACACACAAAAAAAAATTAGCTGGGCATGTCTGTAATCTCAATTATCCAGGAGGATTGAAGCAGGAGGATCACTTGAACCTGGGAGATAGAGGTTGCAGGGAGCAGAGATTGCACCATTGCACTCCAGCCTGAGGGACAAGAGTGAAACTCTGTCTCAAAAAAAAAAAGTTAGGTTTGAAGCTCACGCCTATAAACCCAACACTCTGGAAGGCTGAGGTGGGAGGATTGCTTGAGGCCAGGAGTTCGAGACCAGCCTGAGCAACATAGGGAGATCTTGTCTCTACATAAATTTACAAATTAGCCAGGCATAGTGGCGCTTGCCTGTGGGCCCAGCTACTTGGAAGCATGAGGTGGGAGGGTCACTGGCATCTGGGAGGTCGAGGCTGCAGTGAGCTGTGATCATGCCACTGCATTCCAGCCTGGATAACGGAACAATACCCTGTCTAAAAAAATAAATAAATAAAGTCTGTTAGGACTTTGATTTTTTTTTTTTTTTTTTTTTGAGATGGTTTTTTATTTTCTCACCCAGGCTGGACTGCAATGGTGCAATCTTGGTTCACTGCAACCTCCACCTCCCAGATTCAAGTGATTCTCCTGCCTCA